ATTAAAGTTTGTTAATAAATTTGACATATTTAATTATTTAACTTATTGATTCAATTGAATTTGTAATTTATTTTAATAAAATGTTTTTAATTTAATTATTTAATGATTTAATTTCATTTTTGATTGTTTAAATTAAATTAATTTAATTCATTTATTGAATTATTTATTTTAATTTAAATTCAATTGTGTTTATTTAATGATTTAATTGTTAAAATATACATATATAAAATTGCATTTTAAGCAAATTATCTTGCTTAAAAGCTTTATGAAAGCTCTTAGGTAACGGCCTTTAAGGGTTCTTGTTTGATTCTCTCTGTCTGTGTGTGAAGAAATAGCACCAGACGCCCACCGTAACGTCTACGAGAGCTTTGTGGTGTCTTTGGAAAGACTTACTATAATCCGGCCTTTAACTTTAACAACCGTCTCTTGATTCTGTGTCCTGCCACTGTGTGTTTGTGCTTTCGTATGTTGTAGATGACATGCAATTATGTGCTTAAACGTTGCTGACAAATGAAACTCAGCATACTATCACTAATCCACAATGTGCTGAAATCAACAGCAATGAAGAACCTCCTGTATTTAGGGTTGCTATTGTGTTTCAGAATAAAGAAGAAAAGACCTCCGAAAGTACCAGTGCGAGACTATCAAGGCAAGTTGAAGTCTCTGAACTAGAAAGTGAATGTGCAGTTGAAAAATGTGCACTTGTTTTTACTTGATCTGATCCTTAAAAATGGCTTTAGCTGATGTAACTCAATGCGGTCGGGGGAATTTTCAGTACATTTATAAACCATCACAACACAATTATATCATTCTAAGTGCAGGATAAATGCTGTGTTCTCACAAATCACATGTCATTGTAAGTATTTTCAGCTACGTACCTCATGATCATGTTGTGTCACTTTTTAGGCGAAGCTCCGGATTCTGAGAAAGACTCTGATTCAGATTTTGTAAGTGCATTAGTCTACTTCACTAAAAGACATTCACTGGAGAACTTTTGCAAATGTAACGCTCAATTAATATAACATAAGTAATAGTGTAATGCACAATGCAATAACTGTATAGCCCATGTACATGCAAATCAATATTCTACCGCAAACTATCACATCGAACACATTTCACTCATTTAAGTTTCACATTATTTGTGAAAGAGCTGTTTTACATGAACTGAAAATGTCTGAAAGGTGACATGTCTTATTAGTATCAACTAAATAAAAAACAACATTTTATATTAAAAACAAAATTTGGAGTAGAAACAATTTTCACTCAGAAGTTTCACACAAAAAATGTAAACATTTAAGCAAATGTAAAATGTAAAAATGAAAATGTTAAAATAGAACAGAAAAAGTACAAATAAAAACGAATTAAAATGAGTGCTGTCAAACTATTAATCGCGATTAATCGCATACAAAATAAAAGTTTTTGTTTGCATAATATGTGTGTGTGTATATTTATTATGTAGGCCTATATATAAATGCACACACATACAGTATATATTTTGAAAATATTTGCATGTATTTACATGTCTATATTTATATTCATAGAATTTATATATATATAAATATATTTAATATATAAACAACATTTTTTCTGAAATATATACATGCATTGTATTTATATATACATAATAATAAATATACACAGTACACATACATATAATATGTAAACAAAAACGTTTATTTTGTATGCGATTAATCGCGATTAATCATTTGACAGCACTAATTAAAATATTAATAAAAACTAACTAGTTGCCAAGGAAACATCTCATTTTCATTTAGGTTCATATGATGTGCTACAATAACTAAAAGTGAAAATAAAAGTTAATAAAAACAATACAGAAATTTTTTTTTCTAAAAACTAACAAAATGACAAAACTAAATTACTTCATTAAATTCAAATATAAAAAGTAATTAAAACAGAAAATTAAAATGATTTTTTTTTTTTTATATATTAATTAATACTATAATCTCGGTGATTCTAAAATAGCACTGTCATGTGCATCCAATTCAATCAAATCTTAAGTTATACATTTATTTGAAACGAGTAATGTCTGCTGACACGTCAGAGATATTAGAGATGAAATAACTAAGCTTTAAGTGAAACATTTTCAAAATGAATGAGCAAAAAAATGTTACACTTGCACAGATTTTAACTGATGTAAAAGCATGAAATATAAAGAGACAGGAAATGTATTGATCACATATACGTCTTTAAATAACAGGACAGCGATACGTACGAGGACCCTCAGGGCGATCATGACGATAACTACGAACCTCCGCCGAGGCTTGAAGGACACTTTACGGTCAGCCCGTCCATCACCAACCCCAGAGGAGAGTATGTGGGTGAGGATCACGCTTTCTGTATCAGAAAGTCCACATCAAATCAAAACCGACTCTGTTTACTTTCGGAATTGTTATTGTTAAAACTCATGCATTTGGAATGCAATTTACTGTTCGGACGGTAATTGTTTCTCATGAGGACATAAGGTCATTTCAACATTTACAGGAGCTAGTCAGTGATTTTATTAAGGTGTTTTTTTCCACACCATTCGCATAAAGACTCCCAGCAGAAGTCGTTATTAAATCCTTTTTGACCACTGCCAAGCACTGTACACTAATTGGTGTGCTTCACAGTAATGCACACTCATTTTAAATATGGACATTAAATATTTAAGAATTTAAATATTTCTGAAATGCTGGAAAATGTTTACAAGAATACCATTCCACTTGAGTGGGAGCTGTTAGAAAGGGAAAAAAAAGAACAAAATTAGATAAAAAATTTTAATACGGTATGCAATAATGTACATACTTATTTAATCATTTTTATTAATTAAAAAATGGGGAAATTGACATGCTATAGTTTTTAAAATGCTTTTCTGTCTTGCATTTTATCTCTGCAAAGGATGGATGTCTTTTTAAAAATGTAGAAATTCGCAGAAATAAGTCAAAATAAGGCAAAAAGGTAAACATCTGACCCAGCTATTTGTTTGACTAGTACAATTATTAGTTGTGCAAGCATTTAATTTAAATAAATGTATATAATAAATATTTTACAAATTTATTGCATGCCATAATAATGACCTGTTTAAAAATATCTGTGACTTTGTTTTCTTTTTCTTTTTTAAAGCTCCCTCGTACTGTAGTGGAACGGTGATGTAACATTATATATGCAATTATTTTCCAGCATTTCAGTAAAAAAGTGTCCGTATTTAAAATGTGCCATAATAATGGCCTGTTTAAAAATATCTGTGACTTTGTTTTCTTTTTCTTTTTTAAAGCTCCCTCGTACTGTAGTGGAACGTTGATGTAACATTATATATGCAATTATTTTCCAGCATTTCAGTAAAAAAGTGTCCGTATTTAAAATGTGGATGGTAGTGGTTAAAAACTCAGAGATGTGGAATTCTATACAGATACATTGAAAAGAAAATTTAAAAAAAAAAATGAAAATGTAAAAATAAAAATTAACTAAAAATGTGAATTAAAAGATTTACCAAACGACTTCTTGTAAACTCAGAGGTGTGGATTCATATGCACTTGAACATGAACTTGGTGTTTGACCAAATTTGGCTGTGAATCTTTATGCAAATGATGCGAGAAAAACACTTTATTTTGAATGATTCACTGGAGCACTTTATTTTAAAGAAAACAAAGTGTCTAAATGTAAAAACCTGACTTCCCTTTTCATCTGATGTCACTCCTATTTTCATAATCCAGTCGATTCCTTTCTGAACATTAAGTTTTGTCCAACATTTTTTGCTCTCAAACTCGCCACATAAAGAAAAACGGCTTGCGATCACTGACTCAACTTTAAAACTCTGTCATCATTTCATCATCCACGCGTCTTTCCAAACCTGCACGAGTTTCTTCCGTCGAACACAAAAGGTTTTTAAGAGGTTTTGAATGAAAAGTGATTTTTTTAAATTGTCATTTTTGGAGCATAAAAGCCTCAATGGACTATATAATTTCTTCAAAACTGCTCCTTTTGTGTTCAGCAGAATAAAAAATGTAAACAAAATGAAGTGGAATAAGTGATGACATAAGCCTAAAAGGTTCAGTTCTACAAAAGGAAAGTTCTGTTAAGCAGCAAAAGCATGTAAAACCAGACTTCCTGTGCCTTACAGACAGCTGTCGTGGTCGACCGGCAAAACCAAACCATCCTTTCCATATGCAACAGAGGCACAAACCCCCACGACCGACCCACCGCAGCCTGGCAGAGGAAGATGATGTAATAACGGCTTGTACTGTTCACGCAGAGTTTCATTTAGCGCACAATAAACTCCTGATACTAAAGCACTCTCCTCCGTTCAGGGCGATTACATTGAGCCGGAGGACGAGGCGGATGATGATAATTACATTGACCCCACTGAGAAAACACTAAGAAGTAAGATGACAGAGGAAGGCCTTTATTTTGTTGCACACTGAATTATTAATATGACTGTAATGGGTAAATCCTAATGGTGCGTAATGTCTGTTTATAGAGCCGCCGTTTAACAGAGCGGTCAAACCGTGTGTTCCTGCTCGTGTAAGCGCTCCGGGTGAGACTTTCATGAGATTATTTCAAGAAATGCACACTTTAAGACTTCTTCGATCTAATATTGAAGGCTCGTATATTTACACTCTAATTCTCCTTTTTTAGATTTCTATGAGGTTTCTGATATGAAGGTGAGCTGAAATCAAAAGAGTTTTGTCCAGGTCACTGATATTCAGATCAATCAGATCAACAACAACAACAAAAAATGCATGCATTTTATTTCGCAAGTCTCTCATTAGATTCTACTAATACAATAATGGAAACCATGATTTAACACAATTATTATTATTATTATTATTATTATTGAAGTTAAAAGCAGCATAAATTACAGGTAGTACAACATCATGCATAATATAATAATATTTTTTATATTTGCAATAATATTTTTTATATTTATAAAAACGGATGGATGGATGGATGGATGATGGATGGATGGATGGATGGATGGATGGAT